TGAGTGGAGGGATCGGTGATCTGTTCTCCTGTGACCAAGTGTGAGTGACAAGTGGCATGTAACTGTACTGGCCTAGAGAGAACTCACTTCTGTCCTAACATCCTAACAAGCTATAGGAGCTTTAAATCATGTCTAATCCACACAACTACAGCTGAAGTGGTCTGTGTGTTACAGTGCTCAGTCATGTTTTAGTATTAGTGCATTCCCAAGCAACAAAATGAAAGAAATAAATGGGTTTATGCTAGTTACAGCACTGATTTAAATGAAAGCAAACTGAAGATGCTGTGTGTGTGGCATGGGAGAATGATAGCTTCCCAGGCTAGCTGTTTTCAGCAGCTGGCTAACACAAAGCAGTGACACTTGCTTTTAGGTACGACTCCTTTTAGGTATGACTTTGTTTGTCTGGCGCGAGAGAATCACACTGCAGTTAATGCCACAGAGGTCCATCTTTCACACAGCGAGCATTAGATATTTTGCGGTTGTTGTACCCCTCAAACTACTATGACAGAATAGAGAAATCCAAATGTCTGCTAGCTTTGTTTGAATACTGCAATATGCTCTGACATGGATGTGGTAGAAATAATAGGAGTAAGTGTCCAAATGACAGATGTTGTTATTATTTTTTTTAAAGGAAACCTACCTCCCTTGTACCTTGTACCTTGCACCGCTTAGCACCACAAGACCCTTACACAACCACTTACACAACTCTTCTTGTGCCCAAAGTACACTTAGGGGCGTCTGCTTACAGAGTTTCTGGCACTTTCCATTCCTATGTATACCTCTTATTGGTAAGAGAAATCAATGATATTCTCTTTAATCATTAGGTTGGGAATATCTTCATCTTACTACATCAGAACAGTTAACAAACCCAACAATTATTAATTTTCTTAATCTCTGCGTATGTCATGGCCAAAGATATGGCATAGTTATCCATGGTCCGCTTTTTCACTTTCAGAGGATCCCCCACAACCATACTCTGACACTTTGTGGAATAACCCCCTGATGATTTTAACTTGTTCAATAATTTCCTCTCAGTCATCAAACAATTGATGATTACATGAGGTGAGCTCCTGTTTGGCTGGAATGAAAACCTGCAGCCACACCAGCCTTTTGTGGATGAGATTGGTGAGCCCAAGGTTGCCTTCTTGAGGTAATGAAACACAATTACAAAGGTGTCTACACAGGTGAGCCATAGTGAATTCCAAGTAGTACGTGTCAGCTATAAAACAATCAGCATTTTGATTGTTGCGGTATGTCAACAAACAGCTTATGTTTCATCTAACTCCTCCATCGCCCTCTCAATTGTGTCACCTACACATAATTCATTAATTCTCTAATATCATGCTTTTATTGGCTACCAATAGGTCCGGATTAGCGAATTAATTTTTCACCATGTCCAGCTTTGTCAAAAAAAGCCTACATCCTATTTTTTTCCAGAACTTTAGCTCAATCAAGGGATAAGATCATACAACAGATATACATAACAGTTTATTGAGATCATTTGATTGACCAAAATGATAATAATCAACTGTTTTCATGATATCTTGCTAGAACAGAATTACATTGTACAATCTTATGATGACTTGCTGAGGGTAGAGTTATTTCCATTATTTTCTTCAATTGCTCCAATTGTCTACCACTTCTGTATTACATGGGGTATAAAAGTTCACAAAGAGTTCATCATCGTGACTTGCAGAGTTGCATAGAAAGTTCAGTATTCTGTTTCATAAGGTTGCAAGAGTTTTCTTTATAAAAGATACAGATATTTAGAAAGATACAAAAATCTTCCACTTTGATATTTCAAAAGCAAGTTCCAAAGAGGCCAAATAATCAGTTCCCAACGTGCAAATGTGTTGTAGGAGTGCACAATATTCTTAGAATCATATTCCCATCGGCAGATAAAATGTAAATGTCTTTTTCTTCCTTGCTATCAGTTTTGTATTGTGGAAATATAGAGTATGGAAATCATTTATGCTTCTGGGCTGCGGGGAGTATGGAAATACAAATTTTTAAATTTGAAGCTTCGTCTTCTGGCCAAATTCATATAGCCTGGTTAACCTATGGAAATCATACTACAAAGACATTCAACCTGCAATGTCACAGTGTCCACTGCCAAGTGTTAAACATAGTGGTAGAGCCATTATGATATAGGATGTCTGTGAGAGTCATTCTACATTTGGTATTTTCTCACTGGCATGGTATAATAGCTAAGGTATACAAATATATTGTGGCGCTGCCACAGCTTTCACGCTATCATGAGGAACGTAGGGCCATGCAAAGTGACTCTCGGAGTGTGCCTCTTTTCCGGTTAAAAGGTACTGTTGCTGCGGTTGCTACATTATTAATGTTGTTGATGTTAGCGTGGTAGTGTGGTACTTAAATTTAAGTCAAATGAAACAGAGAAGTTTCCTTTACTGTTTAAATCTCTTTATTTGCATAAAGGGATAAAGAACATCATCTGCAGAGGATGAACCCACTTGAGGCGAACAGGGCACACAATTTTTATACCTTCCAAACTCCTTGTCCCCTCCCGAAATGCATTCTTCTATAGCCTTTTAACCTATCAGAATTACCCAGCCGTTTCTGACATCAGCACCTTACACATGGGCCTCACTCCCCGTCCTAATGAACATCTGGGCCCTTCTATAGAATAACACCCCATTAGTCTCCCAATCTCTCTGTTTTCTTTCTCAGAGTCCACAGAGCATTCCATCAGCAAACATGATACTATGTATACATTTCAGGAGGTGTTCAGGAGGACCAGAACGTAACTATTCATAGGTCACACCCGATGAAGCACACTACATCAGCCTCACACGATACCAGCTGATACATATATCACATTAGTCTAAGATGCATATATGTATTATTTGTGCTTTATTGTGTTAAACTGTAGAGTGGGTGTTAATGTCTACCATGAAGTGAAGTTGTATGGCTATTGGTGACCTCTGTGCTATTCTCTGTAGTATCCAGAGTTCCATGTGTTATCTGACTTTGCAGATTTGGAATGTTTAAGTTAGGGGGCCCCTGGTCCAAAGGTCCAAGGGTCAAAGTCCCATAGGGAATGTGCCCCTCTCTCTTCCTCTCCCTTCCTCTCTTAGTTCCAGAAAAGATGAGATCATTTTAAAAAAGGACATGCAAATGCAAAAACAATGCAAAAACGCCTCCATGACAAACAAATTTCATAAGTGATTTCATGACCACTGTCTAAATATGGCCTCCTTAGTTACCAGATGTAAACATTAGCTGAACTTTTATGCGCTGCTCTGCACTCTACACTGTAGAATGTGAATAAGACATCTCTTCACTCATTCATGCCCCAAAGAAATGCCAGTTTTTCTTGATAAATTATCAAAACATTCCCTTTTAGATCAGGTATCTGGATAAAAGCACTACTTATGTTGCTCTGAATGCAGAGGGTGGCCCTACTTGTTCAGTAGTTTACATACTTTAGGCGTGCAAATAAAGTTGAAGTGGATTTCTCTAAATCTTGCAATTGAATATCCACCATCCTTTTGACATTCTTTTTCGTGAAAAACACTAACGCCTGAACTCAAAATGAAAACAATTATGAGACATCACAGGGTGGCAGTAAAGTTTCTGAGTTTATTAACCTGTCTCCTCCTTTGCCCTTCCCATTTTACTCATTCTTGCATAATCTGGGAACCATTAATTCCAATTTCCTATTGGCTTCCAATGTGTCTTTATCTTCATGTTAATGTTGTACCATATCCAGCTTTGTTTGGAGAAGAACAGTATAACTTTTCCTGGCCATTTTCCAAAATCTTGGCTCATCTAAAACTCCTCTTATTTCCAACACATCCCAATTATCTTCCGCCTGACAAAACTGTCCGTTGAAGATCACACTTGCAGAAATCTTTTACAGTAATTGACTATTTTCTCATAGACTAAACTCAATGCATACAGAGTTCATTGGGTACGCATGAGTTCATCATGCTTAGGAGTACAGTTCTTACAAAAAACTACCCACACTTCGTGGGATAAAGCTTGAATGTTTTGAATGAGCTATGCAGTTTACTATAAAACTATAAAGAGAATTCAAACAGCATATAGTTTGACAAATGCATGGAACATATTTTAACATATAAATGGGACTGTTAAACGTAACTCGCGATCAATACCAACAGCACCCTAGTAGAGGAAACCCTATGCACAGCCCCTGTGTGTTATCTCTCCTCTTTATTCCAAATAACCGTTTATTCAATAACATAATAATAGTAGGATACATTAAACATTAACATATTAAACTGAATTTCTTTGTGACACATGAACAGGGAAAAGAGGAAAGACAAAAAAAGAAAGAAGAAGAAAGAAAAACTACAGAGCCCTGATGATGACATCCTGTATAAATAAAAATAATGCATGGCCACGCCTTAATAACACGTGGGAACGAGATCCTAATGCATGGCCACGACTTAGTAAGGCGTGGGAATGAGATGATTAAGTCGTGGCCATGACTTAGTAAGGTGTGGGAACGTGTCCCACACTTCACTAAGTCGTGGCCATGACTTAATCATCTCATTCCCACGCCTTACTAAGTCGTGGCCACGCATTATTTTTATTTATACAGGATGTCTCCAGGGGGGCTCCAAAAAAAACAAAAAAGAATACCATTTAAATAAAACTGAACAGCTTTAACACAGCAATAGATTTACAAAATCTCTTGTTTTGCTGCAGGAGTAAATTCAGTAATATATAACTACAAAGATCTGTGTGTACAAAGGTCATATGTGAAGGTATGTTTCAGGCAAATTTCATGTTATGTATATAAAATTTAACTATTATCCCAGTATGTCATCTCACTTCTCAGCTCTGCTCTTAAAAACAGTCCACATTCTGCTATTTTACCGCAGTTTCGAACTGCACTCAACCACGTCCGGACCCCCATCAGGAAATGGAGCTGCAGCTGGACTGTTAGATATTTGTGGTGGGCGGGCGCGCAGCTGTGCGCGGGCAGCACGTGACCCGCTAACGCGCAGCCGTCTCTTCTATAAAAGAGTTCCACGGAGCTGCAGAGCGTTGTGTTGTTCGGGAATTAGTTTTGGGGTGTTAAGCAGAAGTTTCTCTGTATAGACTATTTACATTGTCTTTTTTCGACAACAAAACAAAAGGTAACGTTAATGGGTTTCCGGTGAGGCTTGCATGTAGGTGAGTCACCTTTGCCATTACCGTTAAGATTTTTTTCCAGCTAGCTTATCTTAGCTGACGTTGGAAAATTGCAGCTCATGTTTTGCATTTAGTTCGTTAAGAAGCTATAATTGATCAGCTGTGTTTAAATATGTTCAACATTTGAGTTGACTGTTAGCTACGAAACTTATTTCTGTTCGGTTTGGGAATGTCCACTTTGTTGGGCATCGTAATTCGTGGCCAAAAGTGAAGAGAAGCCAACAACTAACGTTACAGCTCTCTGAGTCACAACTGAGCAGCATCTTCAGTACTGACCTTAAAAAGTAATGTCTGTGTCCTCTTACGCCCATCAGTTGGTTAGTCCTGAAGGGTGTACAGGATCCTCAACGGCTCTTCCAGTTTAATTTACAAATCTTGAAACGTATACGTAATGTGCGTGTATCCCCAGCTTTTGTAAGCTTCAACAGCTTTTAACAGTTAGAGTTTTTAATCGTTGTGCGCAGCTGGGTCAAGAGCGAAACACAGTTGAAGTGAGCCATCCTAGTGTTACTTGGCGAGCAGCCCGTAGGAGGGCCAGTATAGAGCGGAGTCCTCGTGAGGGACTGAGATTACTAAGAAATGAAACTGAATCTTAAACAGCTTAATTTAAACCGACAGCATCTTTTGTCGTATTTATGTACCCTTTAAACAGATCTGTAATAATCCTATGATTTCTGTAAGTACTGTACTGTAATCTATTTTCATTTCAGTATTGCTCTAGTAACTGTCTGATAGTTATATTTGTGTAGTATCCTGTAATATTGCTGTACTTTATTTGCTATAAGGGTAAACAGAGCAACATCAGTGTCCATCTGCAGTAATCCTGATCCACTGGCCGGTTTTGTTTTTTCTGCTTGTGTAGTCCTTAGTACTATAAATGACAACATGGCATGCAGTCCATCAATGTTCAGCAAGAGCCATGAAGATCTTAAGAATACAGTATGAACCCAAATATTTTCTGAGATGCCTCAAAAAGAGTAATGTAGAGGGAGGCAGGGGAAAAAAAAGATTGTTTTCCTTGCTATGAGTCTTTATAATGTTCATTAACATCTTAGGTTAACTACGTACAATTTCAATCAGCAGTTTATTCAGAGTGTTTTTATTTTGTTTCATCTATTTGTTTTTTTCCCCACTGTTGTTAGTTTTTTTTTAATAACTTTTACATTTTAAAAATTAACTCTGCTTTGTTTTATCTTTTTTGAAACTTGTAAAACCCAGCAGAACTAAAAATGTGTAAAGCTTTGTGATTCTACAAAATGCAGTGTCACACACCCAAGCCTGGAATGGACCAAAAGTAGTGGAGTGTTTTTATGTTATCTCCAATCACTTACAATAGACTTTGAGAGTGATGACTCTGGTATTTGCGATGTTTGTGTGCTGTTAATCTTTCTCCATCTTTCATCCAGTTGTTGAAGCTCACACTGTACTTTCTCTCCCTCTCTGCTTTCTAACAGAGACAATACAGATTGTTAAGTGGATATTTTAAGAAATTCAGATGAAGACAAAAAACATAATGAAACCTTGCCTGCTGACCTGCCAGGTCAGTTCTTCCTGCCGTCAGAAACCACACGTAGAAGGACACTGGTTGCATGTTGTTGTGTTTCCCTACAGTGTTTATAAAAATCTTCACAGCCAAACACAAGCGGATTTAGTTTTGGTATTGTTTACCCATTTACCCCAGAAAACACTGGTCAGTGTAATGGGGTTTTAACCAGATTATGGCTAATGCTGTAATTAGGCCATTTTCAGCTGCTTAACTTTACTGAAGGATACTCTAGGACTTTAAATAAGTTACGCATAAAGAGTCAGTCAATTGAACAGTGGGGTAATTTCAGAAATACATGGAATTAATGTCAAGGCATAAAGAGAAGCAAGTCACAAATGTGTTCTCGCACAACAAATTCAGTCAGTGTATGTTTGTTACTTTATGCATGCCTAATCTAAGTCTGTGGCATTGCACAAAAACTGGCAAAGAGGTCTACATGAACTGTAAAAAATGTGTCCGTGCACAATCACTGCAGTGGCTGAATAGCATGTTATTTGAAAAGTAGATGACCAATTAACTACCAATTAGCAGACAAAAAAAAATGTTGGGCATTAAAACATTACACATTTTTAAATATTTGTAAAAAAAATTTTTTGGGGGGGGGTTGGATTGGGTGCTCACTTGAATGTTAAAATGTTAAAGGCTACAATGTTGCAGTATTTGTGATGTTAAAATGTCACTTTGTCGGTCTTCTACAGAACTGTGATAGGCAGTATGAGACAATCAAGGACTTCAAAGTGCATGTCCGGAGTTACAGCCATAAAAAGGTATTCCGGTTATATATCAGAATACTGCACAACAAACACTGAGCAATGCACCATAACTACAGAGGGGTCTGTATTTAAAATCACATTGCAAAAACAGCACATGGAACAACATCACAGTAAAACAATAGTGCAAGAAGTAAATAAAGTAACTAGAAGTGGAATATTTGCTAGATACACCAGGAGTATAAATTATGACCACACCCAAAATGATGATACCAGGCTACTGAAAACAAATGCTGAATGACAAGCACCCATGGGGTAATTATCCATGGTACAGATTGTCCAGGTTTTGCTGAATTTAACTTATATTTTAAGTGGTCTCCTGGACTTGAAGTGGAGTAGAAATTAAGGACAAAGTCTTTAAATTTTAACCATTCGCTTTATTTTTGTCAACAGGAAGTGGCCGCGTTTTTTCAGACAGGTATGTTCTTGTGTGTGTGTGTGACTGGAAAATGAGGACAGCACAAAAGCCATTTTATAAACATGAAATAACACACACACAGGAAGAACACATTTGTGAAACAGAACACACGTTGTGAAAGAACTGTCTACCTATTTTAGTATTTACTTTATTATTTATCCATTGACTTTCCTTGGTCAAATATGTACTCATTGACTTGCTGTGATTAGCTGAATTGCCTGTGGTATGATCATTTATAATCTGACTTTTAAAATGTATGTATGTATGTACACTATTGTGTTTGTCAGTAAACAGCTTATATTACAATTAAAAATACAAAATTCAAGAAAGCTTCAAGGGATGGCAGAAAAATAGTTTTATTGAAGATTAATGCCGTTACAGACAAACAGCATTAATCTGAGTACGTTCTCGAGAGGTAACTGAGGAACAATTAGTTCTGGAATATTGTGCTTTTATCGGTTGCCAATTGGTCCTGATTTGCATATTGATTTTATTTATTTATTTATTTATTTATTTATTTATTTATTTATTTATTTATTTACCATGTCCAGCTTTGTCTAAAAAAGGCTACATCCTTTTTTGGCTATTTTCCAGAACTTTGGCTCTCTCTTATTTCCAATCTAGGGATAAGATGATAAAAACATATATAGTTGTTTATTGAGATCATTTTATTGAACAAGATTATAGTGGTCAACTTTTGGGGTTTTTTTGTTTTTTACAATATCTTGCAAGAACAGAATTACATTGTTCTATCTTATGATGACTTGCTGAGGCTAGAGTTGTTTTCGTTATTTTTAGTTGACCCAGTTGTCTACCACTTCACAAAGAGTTCATCTTAATCACCCTGACTTACTTGAGTTTTCTTTATGTAAAGTACAGATGTTAAGAAAGATACAAAAATCCTCCACACCATGATGAGGTATCCTGCATATTAAAACAGAACTTGACCACTACTTGGTATTTGTGAACGGATTTTTGACCTCTTCTTTTAATTTGTTGTTTTTGATTGTTCTGGAGTTTGTGTCCCTCTCTGTGACCAAATAGCAATGACTGTCATTAGGCCAAGGAGGTAATTGATCAGCTGTGCTAAAAGAACAGTATGTGTTATTTTTGACGCATGTCCAAGTATGCTCAGTTTAAGGAACACTTCAAAGTGATTGGTTTAAGCCCTCAAACAATGGTGAGAGAAGTAACTTAAAAAAGGGCATTGCAAGGCAAGTTTCTGTATATAGCACCTATCATATACTGTCATTCAAAGTGCTTTACAAATAAAAAAACATACAAATATAATTCAAATTAAAAAGTAAAATAAAGTAAAGGAGAATGGAAACTAAAACGTGATTAAAACAATAGATTTTATAAGGGATAAGAGAGATGAAGAATTAAATTAAAAATAAATATTAAGGGTTAACACGAGAGAGCAAGGGGGCTGTTGAACTGAGCAGAGATTGGTTGGAGGGACGACAGGCTTGACTCATGATAAGGTCAGTAACAGTAGCCAGGGCGTTTTCTGTAATTTGAGATGAGAGTGAGTGAGAGCTTGCTTGACTTTTGTTATAACAGAAGGTGGCATATGCAGCCATGTAAACATTGCCATAATAATGGCAACCACTGAAGCTTGGTGATTTAGGGAGAGCTTTGTCAGTCTTCTTTATTTGGTTGTGTGTGTAGGTGATGTATGTTGGTGTGGCACTGCAGATTGATGTTTTGAATGCAGTAAGCGAGGTGTAAGGACCAGGCAGCTACCCATGGGCTCCACTGGGCCACTATCATGGCAGCTGTCTTGAGAGCTATCTGGCAGTTAAAATGAGTTGCACAGTTGAGATAATTGTACCATAAAGTTGTAAGGCAGCAGAAGGGGGGCTTCCGAGTGTCAGAGCAGCAGCACAAATGTGCAGCAACTGTTACTGTCTTTCAAATACTGTTCACAAGCCCAGTAAGTGCAGACATAGTCATAGCAACAGAAAATCACATTGAAGGGACATGCCATTAACACACAAAGCAGCATGAGCTGTCACATCAAGTGCGATCACACGTCACTTCCTAGAGAGAGACCCCTGTCTCTGCTGACCTGCTACTGCCCTGAGCTCCATTCTACTGCTGCTGGCTTGACTTTAGCTTATTGCTTTATGGATCAAACAAGTTTTGAACAAGCAGTTATGATGCCCCAGGAAAGCAAATTTGCAGTCCAAATTCTTGCAAGCCGCAGTGGTTGAACTGCTGATTTAAAGCCAAAGGATCATTAGTCATGAGTTTGATGAGTTGTTGATTTGTATCTACAACTCTCAGAAAGGAATCTCAATCAGATGTCTGATTGAACACGAAAAGGTAAATTAATTGATGTAAAAGTGTTTGCAGTGTAACTTACTCTAGCTCTGTTCTCTCTGTCCCTCCAATATAGCTGTACATCAAGGACAAAGTAAGACATCCTCTTATTTACCTATCATATAACACTATATGTAATGTGTTTTAGTCTTGGTGTCAGTTTCCTCTGTTGCTATTGTTGTCTGTTCACATATTGTCAATTTATTGATCCTACAGCTATCTTTCCTGTGTTTGTTGTTATGGACTACTTGAGGACCCCAAACCAAAGAGACCCGCTCATTGGTAAGTGTGCTTGTTTGTTTATTTTATGTGAGTGTGTTAACATGTCACTCATTTAAAATTCATTCACTAATGTGTATGTGTATGTGTATGTATATGTAGGTCTGGACATGGTGACAGTTTGTATTACTCCAGAGAAATATGGTGCATTCTACCTGTGTCATGTTTGTGAGGAGCGTCTGAGCAGTCAGGATATTAACAAACATCTATGTTCTGTTGAGCATTACTTTAAGTTCTTGGTGAGTTATTGCTATCATAGTGTAAAATACAAATATCAATTTATTTTGTTGCATGTCATATGTTGTATGTACATGATTGATTGATTTATTTCTTTTGTGGTTCAGGCCCACAGTAATCCAGAGTTGCTGCGGTTTGCCTGGTTCAAGGATTCTTTTTTGTATCTACAGTCCAGTGCTCTGAAAGAAAACGGCACAAATGGGTCTGGCACCTTGCGGGTAAAACAACTTTATGTTGAATAGCCAGAGGAACGGTATCTATTGTTCTGTATTTAGGAGGACACAGCATCACCTTTGTTTGTATGTTTGTATGTGTATGTGTTTGTGTGTATGTAGATTTTAGAGCTGCCCAAGATGATGCTGAAGAGGGGTAAAAAGCTGGCATATCATCAAGGTAATGTGATAATGGCGTGATTGTATACTTTCATATGAAACCATAGGCTGTGTTCACATTTTAAGCCTCACTGCTCAGCTCTGACTGATGTGAACATAGCAATATGTATCTTTTTTTTTTTTCTCCACTTTTCTCTAGTTATGATGATGTTTTCCAAAACAGAAAAATTGACAGAACGTGTGAGAGGTTAGAGTTCTCATTTCCTCTATTTTCAGACTACACTGTCTAAATGCATTTCCTGTGTGCCTTTAATGTATTTCCTGTGCTAAACATCTTTACTATCCAGCTAACAGACCTAAGCGGAAAACACTTCAGGCCTATATCACCGACCCTGCCAGAACCAACCCTTTGCTTGGTGAGAGACATACATACTTAAGGCATACATTCAGCAGAGTCAGATGTAATTGGGCAAAGTGGCTGCTTTTTGTATCCCTTACCCTGACGAAGCATATGTAATTCTGAATGTGTGAGGAAATCTGTATCTGTATTGAAAGGGAAAGAGAGAATGTCTTGATATGGCTGACTCGCTTATACTTTAAAGGTTTTTGATTCAGTGAACAAAGCTGACAAGGAGTTAGAAAGTGCATTACCTGATTGTCCTGGCTGTTTCCTTCCCAGGCTTGAACTTCCTGGTTGAGTACTCTTGTCCAGACAGTGAGTATCACTGTGGGTATCTCTGCATTCTGTGCAAGAAGAAACTTCCAGCCATTGACAGCATCTCCCATTGCATCAGCTTTGATCATGTTTACTGGTACTTGGTACGTATTTATGGGTGCATGTGTTGCTGCTTCAGGCCAGAATTTGTATGTGTGTTAGAAACCATAGAACCTAGTCTATTGTTAATAGAAAGATCTAAAAAGTGAATTCAACTTAACAAACATGATCTTACTGCCTGCCAGAGATTCAATTTACACTATTTACCTAGTGCTTTTTTATACTCAAATTTTCATAATCAAAAGTGTTTAGAAATATTATTCCAAGGAATAATATTGTGGCAGAAATGGAAGAAATTTAAGTCACTTTCAAGAAGTTAATCTAACAAGGTTAATCGGAGGCAAATCGGAGTAGATGCGAGCACCCAACCATATAAATTGTCCTTCTAGCTCCTGAGTGGTTAGTGCTGTGCATTTGAAAAGTGATTTCTTGCTGAAGCAAAGGCATTCCATTTTCACAATGAGGATGGCAATTCCTAATAATTTGTATTCCTTTTCTCTGGGTGCGTGCATATTTCAGCAAGAGGCTCACCCTGCAACCCTAGAATGTCCCAAGAGTAGTTACACTCAATACTCGTACAGTTTCCACAAGAAGATCCTTTACCTGGCCAATCAGGCACAGAAAGAATGCCCACCAGGGGAAATACAGGTAATACAGTTTCCTTGTTAATAATTTCATTTAACATGTTCCCAATATGTTTAGAAATGGATGATTTCTAAGCTGTAGTTTATTCATGGAATGTGAAATGCATAGCTGAAAATCTGAATGCTGGTTTAGTAGGTTAATAGGTTAACGGTTTATGGTAACTACGAAAGCCAAACACTGTCTTCATTAAACAACTTACAAGGTACACACTGGCTTTAGGTGACATATTTGGCATGGTCAACTTAACATTGCTGCTAACTAACCACTAACCAGTTTGTATCCCTGGCTTTTTTTTTATCAGAGTGTGCATCTGGATCTGTCAGGCTTTAAAGACATTGACTCTTCCAGTTACATGAATGGTGAGATCACCCTCCTCCTCCTCCATACACAGCACAGTAAATCTTGCAACCCAAGACGGGGAGGGGTCAAGGATCAGGCTAAATGAGATCAACGTGGTTGCTTTAGAGCATCGTCTGTACTCTATGCAAATATGGAGTATAATGTATACTATTCAGGAACCAGTCACGATGTTTGTCTATTGAGATTGCATGACTATATGCTTACTTTTATCCACCTGTTAGCAACGAGTGGTATAGTACAAAGGTATGGTAAATAAAGTCTGTCTCACACTTTCTTTAGTTATCAGCGTTTCGCACTAGCACAGAGAGAGATTCTCTGGACAATGACTTAAGATTCAGTCGTAGATTATTGGACAGTGGAAATTTTCTGAATATCAGGCACTCATTTGCAGATATAGATATGCCTGAGGTCAACAGTAGGGACTTCCTGAACCAATTACCATATTTGCAATCTCTAGTATACATCACCCAAAGTATATAAGTCTTAGGAATTAAGCTTCAGACAGCAGCTGGTGGCAGATTGAGTAAGTGGATGGTCTGTATTGCCCACACCAGGTATTGTGCTGTTTTAGTAACAACTTCAAATTGCTGCAAATTAATGACCGATGTAAATTTCATTGTTGTGTTGTGCTCTTCATAGATGAAAAAAATCTTGCTTATTTTAGTTTGGAGATCGATGTTTAGTTACCCATCAAAGAGAGAGAGGGACTGATTGACTTGGAAAATCACTGGTTCAGCCTTTAAGTTCAAGAAAGAATCAATCCAATAGTCTAAGAATTCCAGAAAGGCCTTCGTTTTCTTGCCAAAATTTTATTTGAACTTTTGACATGCATTATTTAAATTATTTGTTGTTTATCAGCAGGGGAGTCAGTCATCAGCCCTATGTGTCACTATATTGAGTGGTATTTGACTTTAACCTAATTCTGGTGTTTGTAGCTTTAGATAAGCTGCAGCTGAAAAGACGAGAAAGAAATCAAAGTGAAATCAAAGCTAGTGTTACACCGGGAGAACGAATCTGTAAGCCCCATACATCTCTCTCACTTTACATATCATTTCACTCTGTTTTTCTTACTCTAATTCTCTTCTGAATGTCTGTTCTGCAGTATACACTCCAGAGGCCCCAGCATCCTCTGCAAGCATGGTGACCACAGTCTGCTCAGCAGAACAGGAAGCAGAGAAAACGCACAAAGGTTTAGTGAATACAATCTGTCTCACATATTCTTCTGTTAGCAGCTCGCTCTCCTGATGTCTCTGTAGCATGTGTAGCAAGTGGTCAGAGCCTATGATCCGTAAAACAATCACAAAACCAAGAGATCCTCTGTTTACACTGTATTTAGACTGACTGGAGCTGAAAAGGCAGACAACACAAGAGGATTGAGCATAATTAAAAGAAAACAAGTGAATGAATTAAGAAATCGTGATCAAGAATTAAAATAAACATACCCAAGAACTAAAGAAAACGTGAGCATGATTAAAAGAAAACGAGAGAACTAATTGTTAATTGTGGAAATGAATTAAGAAATCCTGACAACAAATAAAAAACATGAGTACAAACTGCAAACCATTAACTTGAATTGATTTTTACTTGTACCTCTACAAATAAACCTCTTTTAACAACAGTACATGAATTACAACAAATAATATTCAGTTGCAAATTCAATTGGTTTCAAGTATTATAAACAGTTGATAGTAAATGTCTGTGAAAATCTAAGTGTGTGTGTGTGTGTGTGTGTGTGTGTGTGTGTGTGTGTGGTGTTTTCTTATTTTTTAATTTATTTTTTGGTATGCAGTGAAAGTTGCGTTTTTAACTTTGTGCGTGAGATACAGATGACTTTAAGAACAGGACTAATGGTAGCATGCGTATGTGTGAGTGGAAAAATTGGTGAAAGCATTATGTTCTTTTCCACCCTGCAGACTATGGCGCTCAAAATGGAGACAGCAGCTGTCAATTTATTTTGTGTGTGGTAAGAACAAAAACGTCTGTTATTCGCTTTTGTTTTTTAAATGTTTGAACGACTCAGCAACTTGTTCTTGGCTGAAAAAAAACATCCTGTGAGGGTTTTGATGCAGAGGTTTTGGCAGAGCTGTCTTAACCAAGTGCTGGCTTAACCAAACAGCCAAACCTTTTCCTGGTTGTTAGATGTGCATGAGCGTGTTTTGTTTGCTTTGTGAGCTCAACCACTTCCTGTTTTAAGACACGCATATCTTATTTCTTTGTCCCAAAAGAACAGGTATCTCCAAAATTATAACTTTACAGGAGAGTGCAAAAATATTCTTTACTTTTAATGTGAGTCAGTATAAAGATATTTTATTCAAAGCAAATTTGGTGCATTTCTATTGGTCCATTCATCATGATATTTTTACACACATTAAAGGGCAGATATGCTTAAATGATGTAGAAAAAACTGGGATATATTTGTGTGTTTTGTGTTTTCTATTTTTATTAATCATTTTTTTTTTTTAGGGAAAGCGATGTATAAAGATCAGACAGTTTCACTCAATTGAAAATGATACACTATGGTTTAAAACACTGTGCCTCCAACTTGTCATTTAGCTCATATCTTTGGATTAAATGCTTGTTTTTAATTATTGCACTATTTATTTCTTTACTTTTTGCTTGACATAGGAATGCGACAAGACATTACCCTTCATATCGGATTACAAGAAGCATATTAAAGGAAGGGAACACAAAGAGGTGGGTTTGGATAGGTTGGTTTAAATGCATGGTTTGCAAATCCAAATATTACACACACGCAGATAACTAACGCCCCCACCCCAAATCTGTTTATTGCAGAAACTTGTTGACCTGTTTGGATCAGGTAAAACATTTTCTTTACTTTAATGCCCTTTCCTTGGCCTGAAATGTATGTGTCCATGATAGAAGACTCCTAGCGAGGTGGAATTAGCCACAACTAAGTTAGGGAGAACACTGGGTTAGGAAAACAAAAGGTATGTTGGTTTTAGAACACCACAGCAGTGACCTGATGATTTTTATTTTTTTTCTATTGATCTTTGAGAAGGGATCTTTCTTTTGAATTCTACTAGGGGTAACATGTAGGGGTAAAAAAAATCTGTTTCTAAACTGTTTCTAAAAAGTAGAAATAAAACCCCAAAGGGAAAATATATAGGGAAAATTTTGATTTAGCTCTCAAAGGACCTGAAAGACTTTGACTTCATATGTATGACATATAAGACATAAGTAGTGTGTGGCTTAGTCATGACTCAGATTTACTTGCCCTTTCTTTGTCCCTTTTACTAATTCACTGTATCCTTTGTCTTTCTCTGTAGGCTTGTACACTGGTATGTATTTTGTTCAGTAACATGAAAACAATACAGTATAAATATAAATTAATTATAAAGTGCTATACAAGTAAGAATAAATCAGGAGCATTTACAGTACAGCTTGGAACTGCTCACACATGTGTTTGCAAGCATGCACGCCTCTCCTCATATTCCTGTTTTTGGTGTCTCTGGCTAGGACCCATTTCTGTGATTACATTGTACAGATATCTGTGGTCTCAACATTTGAAGAATTCATCACCTCCACTGATAGGTGAGACGTACAATCCAACATTTGCTTTAATGCTTTCTTTAATGGTGTTTGGGATAGCTCATGTTATGCTGTAAATTTGTTAAAATCTTCCTAAAACGTGCTGTTTTTAGAAAAAAAATACCATTTGATCTATTTTCTAGAGATGTGTTCAGTTGAAGAGTTTCAGTCCAAAATCCTGTGTATCCATTTGCAGCAATTTTGTATGTAACAAGTTTTTGAAAAGAATAACAGTTGAAACATTGTTTTAATTACAGTAGCCTTGATGGTTCTTGTTTATCAATTCAAAAGTCATCTATGCATTCTGGAACAATATATTATCATATTTCTGTATTTTCCCACTGTTTTCTTTGTGTTTATCAGGTCTGCAGCTGCTCACAGTGCTTGTGGACAGGCAGAGTCAATGGTCGAGCTCACCACTGTACCTGTGTCATGCATGCGAGATCAACATTTCAAAATCCGCATCTGAACACCTCACCTCCACACAGCATTATTTCAATGTCTTTGTGAGTATTTTCTAATGACCTCATTGGCAGAATTTTTTTTTACTTGTAGCAATACAAATTTTCCCAAAGCTTCTCTTGTTTTTTGAGCAACATTTTAAAAAAGAAGATCTAAACTGTTTTTAGGCACACACAAAACCAGACCATGTGTTTCTTCGTGCTCGGAATTTGAACAAAATCACCGAACTTGCACAAGAAGAAGAAGTGAGGCAGAGAAAAGAAAAGATGGTTCTGAGGGTAAGAATTAAGCATACTCGGATGCTGACTAAACAGTTTTGCCCACGCTCACTCATTCTGACTCTCCTCTGTAGGTGTGTGAGATTCCAAGTCACTTGTGGATGAAGTTCAAGAGCCTGGCATTTGAGAAAAGTAAGACCAATGAATTCCACCTGTTTGTTGTAAAAGAAGAAATTATCCTATTTTACTTATTTATTTGTTTTTCCTCACCCTCACTCCCACTAGTCATGGCAACGATTAGGAACCACCATCCAAAGTTGAGCAACTGTATTGAAGGTTGGTACCTTACATTTTGATGAGTTAATCCTGTGTATTTTGGGGCCCAACATTTATCTTGTACTGGAGCAGACCTTCAGAAACTGTGCTCCATTTTGTACTGGGTATTTGTACAGACTCTCCTGCATATCCTGTGGGCCTTTGGAGCCCAAGAATCCACATTCCTTTTAAGGTTTAAGGTATGTCTTTGAAATGGTATTTCTATACATCCTCTCTGATTCCTTATATGGATTGGAATGTTGGAATGGCTAGCAGAGAGGGTCAGATTTGGCCGCTTTTCTCTATGCATAAAAAAATTGATCACACAGAGTCTTTGAAATTCATGTTGAGTGTGGCATTGTGATGTACTCTCAGCTTTAATACCCAAATTACAGGGATAATGTGGAGCGAGAAGGAACTGTTTCAAAAAAGGTTTTCAACAGGGTTGAGGGGTATACTGACATGAACGCTATGATTTGAATGCTATGATTAAAGTTTTGTCCAAAAATAGTCCTGACATTACATCATGTGGGAAATATGACTAGAACATGACTGATTGCTAGCTACCTGTTATCTGTCTAGCTGTGAGTACTGGAAACAAGTTCCCTTCACATTACAATTGATTGCAGCACCACAATGCACATTGAAACAATCGTGTTCGTAATACTTGCAGCCTTTGTGTATATATATATATATATATTGTATAGATAAACAGATAAACAGATTAGATAAACAGATTAGTCTTATTAAAAGATATTAAATCTGGCCTTGTCTGAAAACAAAAAAGGACATTTGCAAACAAAGCTAATTTTAAAATAGCTGAATATAACCAGATTTTGGTGATCATTGCTGTATACAGTCATTTATGTTTGTTTGTTTGTGGTTCCCTAGTTCCAAAGCGGGTGACGCTGCAGTCATATGCCAAAAGTTGTGACAGGAAGTCTCCACTGCTTGGTGAGTGCTTTTAGTTAGCAAAAATAAGCAGAAAAATCAGTAGTTGTCTTGGAAGAAAGTTTGCGATGTCAATAAATGATGCATTATACCTCATGCTGAAACACAGCTGGAAAAATGTTCTGCATTTCAAAGAATGAGAACATCTTTTTGGTGCGTCATACAAAGCACTGCATATGTTCTTACTGGTTATATACAAAATTTTTCAGAAAAAGAATATGTATGCTAGTGTCATCAGTATGTTGTCTGCAGTAACGCTAATCTTAAAACTCCAATAGAAACAGTGTGTCCATGCCTTTGGTTGTAGATTATGTTAAATTGCAATTTTGGATTCTATGGATTGTGAAATGTTGATAATGCTTAGTAGTTTGAAAGCATGAAATAGCAGTTTTAGGAGCAATGTTGACCTGCTTATTTATTTATGAAACTTCTGCAAGTGGTTTTTAGGTGTGTTGGGAGCTTTAAAGGCAAGATGCACTTTGCAAATGGAGAAATGTGAAATCAGAAGGCTGTTTCAGAAGTGCTAAATGATTTTCTTCCTCTAAACTAGGTCTGCAGTTCATGGTGAAGTACAGTACAACACAGCCTTATCCAAAATGTGGTTATCTTTGCTTGCTGTGTGAAAGGAAGCTTTCTGAAATGGATGTCATTGCCCACATTTTGAGCTTTGCTCATGTTTTCAACTACCTTGTGAGTATTGTAAACCTTCAGACAAATTAAGTGTATAAACAAGTGTTAATGTGGTATGTTGAATAAGGACATTGTTTTTCCACAGAATGTGGCGCACCCTGGTTCCTTGAGCAAGGATGATGATCAGATGTCACTGATTGTAGACCTGGCAGAGCAGGCAGAGACAATACATCCTAATGAAGCTTTGCAGGTATAAACCCAAAAGTTGTGTTTTGTGTATATTTGTGTGTTTGGTCTTTAAAACATTTGAGAATGAAACCGGACATTTCCTTGTAACAAGTGTTACGTCCTTTTAATGCAATTAACTTTTTCTTTTTATTTATTTATGTATATAACTTTTTTTTTGTCAATTGTCAATTGCTAAATAACTTAATATGCTAAAATATTGAATGTTTTTTCACATTCTTTCATAATCAGTAAAAAAGAAAAAAACGAATAATAATAAACCTTGGAGGATAAACTGCTTCGGCATTGTGCTGTTTGTGAATTGTAAAGCTACTGTCCAGTACAGCTGTGTATATATTAATCACTGGGTTAAGTCACGTAAATTAGGTACTGTTGCTTTGTTCTGCCCTGAGATTTGAGTTATAATTACTGTATGTGTTGTTCTAAAAGTTAAAATATTGCAATACTTATAGTATTATGTCTCAATCATGTGGTTATTCCATATGTGTTTTCTATGTTCAGACTCGATGTATATACAGTCGTATAAAAGTTTTCAGTACACCTGGTCAAATGGCATGTTTTTGTTGATTTTCTAAGTGAAAATAAGTTAACGCAGCCATACAGAGAACATACTACTGCACTTTTTTTTTATTTATTTATTTTTTTTTATTCACAATTCTGGTTTTGTGCTGAATTTAACATACTGGGGGAAAAATAAAATGTGGTTTATGCAAAAGTAAGACACATTTTATGTTTTTCTTTTTTCCCAATATGTTAAACTCAACAAATAAATAGAAATTATGCAGTACAATTCGTAGAAAAAGGCCACATTTAAGTTTGTTTCTTGTAGAGGATACGTTAGCTCATTTTCACTTAGAAAATCTATGAAACATGTAATTTGACCAGGGATGTTCAAACTTTTGCATACAACTGTGAGCTCTGCAGGGGAAATGTGTGTTATGATAGATTCAGCTTTGTTCAGTCCAAAGACACTTATTCAAAGCCAGTTTTGGCAAAAAACAAAAGCAATGCTGGTAACGTTTAATGTGAATCCTGTCTCTGTTTTAGGAAGTGGAACTAGACTTTGGGAAATTTCATAAACTTGACACAAACCTTTTCAAGACTGGTAAGTTACCCAAGTTAGATTTGGTGAGTTGTATATGTTTGATGTTTGTGATACAAAGATATTGGTAGCACATTAGACAAAAATTTAAGTAATTTGGTCATTCTATAATGGCGCCAATTACAAGGCATAAACTCTGTAATGCTTTGTGGTAGCAAAGTACTTAAATTTCAGTCAAATAAAACAGTTTCCTTTACTGCTTTGATCCCTTTATTTGCATAAAGAGATGGAGAACATTGTCTGCAGGGGATAAACCTGCACTTTTCTCATAAAGAGCTACTACTTCTGCAATATTTTCATATTGAAACGTTATTTATTTGTTTAGATGTGCAGCACAGCCTGTAGCAAACTAGATCCTTTGCATTCTTGGCATTGATTATCGGCTTATCTCACAAAGCTTTCTTCTGCAGAGTGTTTCTGTTTAATCCAACTTTGGCAAATTTCCTCTTTTGATTATGATTCTACAATTCTAGTGTCATACAGTTTTTCCTGTCAGTCACCATTGACTTAATCTTTAGGAATCTTGACCCAAACAGAAATCTGATTTGTGAGAATATCTATAATTATGTATATCTATATTTGAGGTGAATTCCTTTCTTTTGCTTGCTTGCAGCTTTGGAAGCTTTGCAGTTGTTTTGTAGGGAAAAAGGACTAGGAGAACTAAAGCCATCTCTTGCCCCAGGAGCCAAATTGGGTAAGAAGCCATATGTACTTCCTTGTTTTGTTTTTTGTTTGGTCAGGTTTTTTAGTTTTTTTGTTTGTTTGTTTTTTTTTGTCGAGGGTTCAGGAAGGGAGATCTTATACAGCATAGTGTAAAGCAGGGGTCACTAATCTCATACTCAAATGGTGGTTGTTGTTGTTGTTGTTGTTGTTGTTGTTGTCTTATTATTATTATTATTATTATTATTATTATTATTATTATTATTATTATTATTTTATTTATTTATTTATTTTTTTAAAACAGTCTCCAGTCTGGAGAAGAAAAATCCTCTGCAGTGTGTCCAAGAAGGATGCCTTTCCACGCCATCAAAGAGCCAGCAGATCAACTTTGATGCAACATGCACAGAAACATGCTTTCCCAAAACAGATTTAAAATTTCCTGACTCCCTTCCAAAACTCACGGAGCTTCCGAAATCCACAGATCCTGCAAATTCAGCCTCCACATGTGTACAGCCTGCTAAACCTTCATCAGCCACCTCGCCACCTTTGCTGCTTCCTGAAGCATCATTAAACACTCAGCAACATGACCCAATGGAATTGGACACAGAACCTCTCAGCCAAGCAATGCCTCCTAACCACAGCCCAGCAGAGGCAAAAGAATTCTACCAAACAGCAAAACCTCCTGAAACTCAAGATTCAAGATTTGCTCAACAGCAGAGCCAACTGGAACAAAATAAAGAGGATCTGTCAAAAGCTCCTCAGAAACAGAAGCAGGCTCTTATTCACTTGAACAAGGCACAAGCAGGTGTGTTCACGGATGCTTAAATCTAATTCAACACTGTAATACTGTGTCCTATTTGCTTTTGTCAACATGCTGACTCTAATGTTAGAATAGCTCAGCAGTGACTAACTATTTAGGTTCCAGTCACTGTCTATTGAATGTTATTGAACAAGAGTGCAAGAATTTTGACATTCTAGAAAATAACATCAGGTTTATGCATATTGTTGTGTATTTATCCATTGCAACCCAGGGCACCATGTGTGGAGGATGTTGTGTGCTCCATCTCTTGAGAACTTTGTGATCTGTGAATGTCTGTATTCTGGGCAGAGCACCCAAAATCTCTCTGAAGGATTCCTGGAATGTATGCACAATGGTATAAGTGCTAATAGGCCTTCCATCTGTTTCCGCTCATTGTTTTTGAGCCCATTAAACAGTCTTATTCTGTAGGAGGGCCGAGTGGTTATTTGAGGAAGGGGCTTGAGGCCCCACTTAATAAATGCTGATGCTACCACAATATCCAAAAACAAGGACACAATGTCATTGATACGAAGGAACAAAAGCTATTTGAGTGCTAATCGTGCCCCCCCTTATGGAGAATCTTCAGCCTGCTAAACATGAGCGAGTTACATTCCAGTTCCATGAGGTCTTTCATGTCTAAAAAATTTAACCTTTTAGTCTTTTTCATATATGCAAAACATTCTGAAGTAAAAACTACTTACTATGTAAATTGAATATCTACTACATAACAGAGCTTATAAGCATTTTAATCCCTTGCAGTACTGAGGTATAGTATTCTGCCTTTGCTACACATCTTATTCTGGCATGAGAAGTTAACTGTTTGGTTTAAGATAAGATTTGTCAGAACAAATCCTGCATGAGCATATTTATCTGTGCACCCATCTATATATCTTTATCCTCTCTTTCTTTTTCTTCCACTGTAACAGTACCTCAGATCCCACATGCTGGCAGTGAACTGTGGAACTATCTGAAGATGGCAAACAGAGAACCTGTAATAGGTTAGTACTGTTTTCTTTCTTCTCTTTTTTTTTTTTCTGTCTCTTCCTTTTCCCCCTCTTATCAGCGCATATTGCATGCCATGGGATTGCAATTTGATTGGAATTGTTGGTTTAAAAAAAACTGAAGCAAAGTCATGCTGAAATCACCAGAACTTAAACTACTGTGCACTGTGGCACAGAAAGTCCTGGCACTTGTTACCAGAGGAAAATCTGAAGGATTTTTCTACTCTATTGTCGTTGTGACAGTATGTGCTGTGGTAGACCTGCACATCTTTGTTCATGTCTCCACAAAAAGAAATGGGGCATAAGAACTTAGTTTTAACACCAAATAATATTCTTGTGCTAACTGCTGACCTCTGTTTTACTTCAATATATGAGGTATGAATATGTATACCGGGATTCTATGGAAGAATTACCAAAGCTCAGAGTTTTAAGTAAGTGGCAGTGAACTCTACAAAAAACAGTCGCATATTTGTGTGGTCTAAATAGGCAGCTTCTAATTTGGCATGGAGAAAGCCAGACTACTTAGCCATACCATGTGCTCTGAGGGTCAGCAACCAGTACATAGTGGAAATTTCGCACTCTTTTATTCAGAGTGTTTAAAGAATCACAGGGAGCTAAGGCCTGAGAGTGATTGTTCCCCAGCAGGCACAAATGTCTATAATAGCAGCATTAACTGCTGATTGGAATAGGATTATTTGTGAATGACGTACTTGCAGTTCCAGGTCATCTGATGCGTATGAAGTGGAAAAAGCTTGGAAAGAATGGCAGCTGCTCTGGTCACAAAACCAGATGCAACTTTGCCAGTTTCAAAGCATTTTGGCTTTCAACCAAATGAAAAGGGGAGAGTCAGCCAAATTAGATGAGGCAGTATGCAAAATCTGTGCCAGAAAGGTCACTGAGACCAGGAAATACATCAAATTTGAGGTCTCACCCAGCTACCTATCATCCAGCTATCAAAGCGCAACTGCCCCAGCACCAAGTCATGGAGTAGCCTCAAAGGGGACAGCTTAGGCCAGTTCCAGCCAACAGTTAAGAGTTGCCAAATCCTTAATTCGAGTTGCCAAATACAGCTGTGAAAGTAACAGGCATAAATGCCTTACAGTCACTGTTACACAATATCTGGTTGAGGATATGGGTTCATTTAACACAATGGAGAAAGCTGCATTCAAGTCAATGCTTCAAAAATTTAACAAGCAAAATGAGTTGTCCGATAAGATGTACTTCATGGGGACTGGTGTCCCAAAATTGTACAACATGGTAAAGGCATTGATCAATAACGAGCTCAAGAGTGTCAACTACTCCTCTGCCACAGCTGATATGTGGTCAACTGTTGCCCCGAAACAGTGAGTGCATTTACATGCACTCAATAATCCAATCATAATCGGATTTCTGCGGTTATCCGATTATAACTGGTCATGTAAACAACATACTCCGATCTAGAAATCTGGTTAAGAAATCTGATAAAGAGAGCTGAATTTTAGCTCAGCAATCAGATGGCAGCAAAACAATTTTGGAGCGACGCTGAAACCAAACACGAAATAAAGGATTTAAGTGTTTTTACCCCAGAACCACACGTCAGACAATATTTCAGAAGCTCTTCACCACACATTTGATGATCCCTGGAAGAAAAGAAGTTGGCCTGTGTCACTACGGACAATGGGGCAAACATCGTAGCAGTATGAAATTACATAGAATTCACACTTACCTTGAGCCTGTGAACGTGGAACGTTGGAACCTGTGGCTGAGTGTACGGATCTGCTGTCTAGTGAGAGCTTACAGTGTTACTGTGTCATCAGTCAAACCCATCCTGGAACTCCTGACTGGAGATATTCTGAAACCATCAGAGGAGGACACCACCTTGACATCAAGCAAAAGATGTACAGTGTTCTTGAAAATTACGAGCCAGCTGCCTTACAAGAACTTTTGGCAAAGGCCTGCTTGCTGAACCCTAGATATGGGGGAATCCTATCAGTGACACGGAGAAGACAAAATGAGGACATGACAACCCAGGCCTACTTCTTATAGACTTTATTCTTTATGCTAAAGGAAAGGTTTTGTTTTTGTTAATATTTGCACATAAAACATTTAGCCTAAACATTTTGGCTTTATTTATTTGCTTTTCACAATGTATATTTAGCCTAAGAATCTGAGCTGCAGAACAGGTCTAGGTATAGGGTGTGTGTGTGTGTGTGTGTGTGTGTGTGTGTGTGTGTGTGTGTGTGTGTGTGTGTAAAGGGGAGGAAAAAGCCATATGGTGAATTGGAGAGCATTTGTCCATAGTCTTAGTGGCAGTAAGAACTCATAAAGTGAGTGTAATCAGCATTACCAGACTAAAAATTTAAAATTGCACTTCATACATACAAGATGGCTGAAGCAGCAGTATAAACGGCTAAACTCATTAACATTTGCACACATACACACGTATGTCACAGGAACTGAAAGTATTGGGACACCTGCACATTACACCCACAGGAACTTTTATGACATCCTATTCTAAATCTGTAGGCAGTAATATAGAGTTGCCCCCCCCTTTGCAGCTGTAACAGCTTCCACTGTTCTGGGAAGACTTTCTAGAAGATATTGGAGTTTTTCAGCCATGGAAACCAATTTATGAAGCTCCTGATGCACACTTCTATGACGGACGTTGCTTCCAGGGGCAATTTGGAACGTTAGTGAGTGATTCAGCAGAGGATAGGCACTGTAAGCTTCAGCACTCAGCAGCCCCATGCTGTGAGTTTGCGTGGTCTGCCCTTTCATGGCTAAGCTGTTATTGCTCCTAGGTGCTTCCATGTCACAATAATAGCCCTTACAGTTGACAGGGCAGATTTAGCAGGACAGAAATTTCACAAACTGACTTGTGGCAGAGGTGGCATCCTATGACAGTGCCACATTTAAATTCACTGAGCTCATCAGTACGACCCATTCTAGTGTCAGTGTTTGTATATCAAGACTGCAAGGCTATGTGCTTAATTTTATCCACCTGTTAGCAATGGGTGTGGCTGAAACACCTTAACTCAATAATTAGGAGGTGTGTCCCAATACTTTTGTCCATATAGTGTAGCTAAGCTCATGTAAATTTTTGTTAATTTATAACCAGTCACATGTTCTATGCTTTGTCCTAACTGAAATGAATAATTCATGTCTGTATATAACTGTTTTTATAAATTTGCATATTTGATAAAGCCCTTCAAAGCACGCTCTGAGGTAAAGGTATTAAGTAGTAAGAGCGGCTTTCTGTGCTTGTGAAGGTAAAAGCTTTAATAAAATTATTCTTGATCTCAGTGACCTAAATCTCTGTTGGGTATTATTTTGATAAATTTCCACCACATTAATGGGCAGTTGAGTGAGATTACTGAGCTGCCTGCCATTGATTTCTAAAGTGTGGGGAAAGACTGTCAAGTTCTACCATCACATTGTCACTTAGAATATGCAAAAGAAAGTGAACCTAGATTGGCCATTCCCCTCCTAGAGCAACTGTTTAAAAGTTGAATCAGGAGCTTGCAAGTTGGATTGCATCGGGAGTCCAAAAGAGTGTAGTTGGTCACTACAGGCGTCTGTTAGCTGACCAACAGAATTGGCAGTTAGTGTTCTCCTCCAAGCATGTTGAACTGTCCAGTGTTGTTGCATTAGCAGCAGTTCAGATAAGATTGGGTGGCTGGCTTCGCATGTCTTGGAAGAAGCACATGCTAGCTTTCACCCTCCCACCATGGTAGCATCGTGTAACTAGCTCGGGAGACCTAGCTAGCAGATAGGAATTGGACAAGTCTAAATTGATGTCTAAAACTTCTGAAATTGAAACGTCTAAAAAAAAAAACTGCTGTTTTGGATCATGATGGCAAGAGCAAAACATCTAAGTGATGTTTGAAAGATTGTTCCTTATTGGGGCACAAATGACAGGAGCTTCAGTCACAAAGACTGTTCAGCTGTCTAGTGTTTCCATAGAAACAGTGACTAAAGTGACCTTTAGACATGTACATTTATGAGAAAGTCATCAGTACACAGGGTTGGAAATTGTTTGTTTTAAAAGTGCTCATACAGTGACTGTGATTAGTGTGATATGTAAGGAAAAACAGAAGAGCAGCTGTTCCACAAATGACTGAGAATGTCTGTACAGGACTGTGTCAGCAACAGCAGTTTGTCGACGGCTGAACAGAGGGACACCTAGTAGATTGCAGTGCATGAACCCTTTAGTACAAGCCGACTGCACATTTGAGACTTGAATGCTTGACCCCTACTGTGAGGGGGGGTCCAGTGGTTCTGTTATGCTGTGGGGGGCATGTTACTGCTATTGTTTGGGTCCATTTGTGCCTTTAGATATGTTATGGCGGCTCATGGTGGGCCAATACCTTAAAACTTTAGTGTGTTTTCTTTCATTTGTCCCCAGTCTGTATGTTCTAGCCTAGCTAATGAGATTGCAACTAGTGATCGACTAGTGCTATATGTAATACAATCCCTATACCAAAAAAGTACTCTTTGCGTAAAGGGCAAGGCAGAAAACCACAACAGAATGCCCATGACCTTTGATTCCTCAGACAGCACTGCATTAAAAACCAGCATGCCTTTTTGATGGATATCATCACATGTTGTTGGAAATATTTTGAAAAATTGTTGTCAGTAAACACGGTCTGTAGCTGCGTCTACAAATGCAAGTTAAGACTGTACTATGCACAGTGAATCCATATATCAGCATCATCAAGAAAGGCTGCCAACTTCTCAAAAGCCAAAGTCTGTCATGGTATGGGGAGTAATTGTTCTTAGCCTGCACATCTGTGAAAGCACCTTTAACACTGAACACATTTTAGAGCATTATACCTTTGGTGCCTTTTAGACATTGTCTTTTTCAGAGACACTCATGCTTGTTTCAACACAACACCACACCACAACACTGCACATGTTACAATATCATGGTTGCGTAATCAAAGAGTGAGGGTGCTAGACTGGCATGGCTGCAGAGCAGAAATGTCTCCTGTTGAAAATGTGTTTTATTAAGCTCAAAA